GATCTGTGACCAATGTTGGTGGTGGTTTGGATCGGGGGACGGTGTGTTTGGGTGTATGTGACCAACTATATGATTTTCTGTGATTTTGAAATTGATAATCTGTAACTAAAATAAGAATATGTGACCAACAAATATGAAAATACGGGACATGTGACATACAATTTTTTTAATCCGTGACCAATAAAATATTCTGTGACCTATACAATTTTAGATGTGTGACCTCAAAATAATCTGTGACCTACAAAATTTTTGATCTGTGACCGATGAAAAGATTGTGACCTATAAAATTTTAGATCTGTGACTTCGAAATAGTCCGTGACCTACAAAATTTTTGATCTGTGATCGAAGAATAGTCACCGGAGTGGTCGCCGATCGCCGGAGAAGTCGTCGGAGCAGATGGTGAGGTGGGGGTGGGGGTGAGTTAATTATATTNAAATTAAGCGCAGCCGTATATCAGTCACCGGAGTAGCGGTGGTGGTGATGGAGGTGGGGTGGGGTGGGTTAATTATATTATATTACAGTTAAATATTTAATTTAATATAATAATTGTGAAATATAATTAATTAATTCATGAAAAATCTGATTTTTGCAATTTTAAACTTTGGGGCCTGATTTTTTATTTTGGGATAGATAAAACCCGAGTTGTGAATTTTTCCCTAGTTTTTAGTCATTTCAGTTTGTTTAGCCTAATCTATTTGGGCATCTTTTTGTTGCTGATAATGGTCCAAGTTTTGGTCTCCTTTTTTATGGGCTTTCTAGTCGTTGGTGCATTTGGGATCCTCTTTCAAATTTTTTAGATGAATTATGCTAAATGTACATTGCTTATTAACACTAGAGATTACGCCCTCTTATGTGGATGAAATCTGATCATTGAGTTGATGGAGTATGTTTTAAATTAAAGGTCACGATTGTTATCATCTCATTGAATGTCAAAGAAAATATACATGTACGTGTTTATTATTTTAATAGCATAATTGTGTAGTAGGCAAAACTATTTGGATCAGATTTCGTCTGTCTTCTCTTCCCTGTATAAGAGTGTAGCTAAGCATGTTTTGTAAGAAAAATTCAATACGATCGAGTTATTCAGTGCTTGCATAATCATGTTTTTGAGTTATTATTATTATTATTTTTTACTCTCCAATAGCGTATTTTCTTAAGACTTTAATGAACATTTTCGAATATGAATGTGTAGTCTTATGCTTCATAATAATACAATTTGTTTTTAATCTTAAAAAGTTTCTTAATTCTAAAAACAATCATGCTACACGTAAATTTTCTTTGACATCAAGTCTGACATTCAATGAGATGGCAGCAATCATGATCTTTAATTTGAAACACTCCATCAACTCACTTAGCATAATTCATCCACATGGGTGCCCTCCTTAATTTAATAAAGAACGTACATCTAGCACTATTTTAGAAGCAGTGAAATCTTAAAATTAGTGTAAT